GGCCGGCCCGCGCCGCACGGCCGCGCGCCGGCCGAGGGGCGAGTGCGGGGCGCCCGGGCGGGGTCGCCCGCGCGGCGCCGCGCTCACGAAGGGCCCGCTGTGCTTGCCTCCTAGACGGAGCAGGACCCGAACGCCGCGTCGCTCCTCGAGGTCTTCGACTTCTGGCTGCGGTAAGTGGCTGCGCGTCTCCGCGGCCCGCCTTGGCGTCCGCCTCCGGTCGAGGCGCCGGCAGCCCTCCCGGTAGTTGCTCGTGGTGGATGGGCGGTGTTTGCACGTGGATCGCGGGGCGTGGAAGGCACCGAGCCGTGTTCGTCCCCCATCCACCTCCGTCCGGTGTTGCGCCTTTGTCTCTCGCTCTTTCTGCTTGGACGTGCTGGCCTTCATGATGGACTGTTTTGCTTGGTGCGGTAGGCAGGAAGAGGGGTGCCCCGTGCATATCCATACGTGTTGCATGTAAATATTGTGCTTATTGCTTTTCAGCTTTATCATTTAAGATGGGACAATGGACAAATTTCACCTTGACCTTAATAAAGAATAGCCACCGTAATGTTTTTCCTCAGGTCACCTGAAGCCAAAAAGCGGCCAGCTTTCCGCAATGGTCCTCCTGCAAAAAAGGCAAAGAGAGAATCTTCATCCAGTTCTGAGACCTCCAGTGAAGACGAGAAGCCTCCAGCCAAAAAACAAGGTAAGTGTTGCTCACTTGCTTCTAGCACAGATCAGGAGTTGTGGACTTGATTGAAGAGGAACTCAAGTGCCCCCTCTGTATTCTCTGAGGTAGTTGGTGAGCTAGTTCAGATGTGATGCTGAATTACGGTTTAGTTGATCCATGATTTGCTAGGGGTAAGCAAATGCTCTTTTTCTAGCATGCTCCTCACTTTTACTTTCTTTAAATAATCTGTCACCCATTTCATAGGGTGACTGTGATACTCAAACATGGAATGTCAGTTTGCTTAGGAGTTAAACAATTCAGCAGTTAACCCTGCAACAAACCATGAGTTAAATTGTGGTTGTGATTAGACCACTTGTGGTTTAATGTATGAACTGGGTAGTTTTACCTAAATGTTAAAAAATACAGGAAGTGTTCTGCTAGATCATTGAAAAATCCATATGGTCAAGCTTATTCCTTCCAAGAGTAGCCAGGGAGATAACCTCCAAGAAGCCAGCAAGTGTGGACACCAACCCCTCTCATCATGCCCACCATTTAGTATTGTCAGATGTACTGTCTGTGACTTTGAAGGCTCCCATTAAGTGCCATGGTTGTGAACCTGGCCTCTTGGAGCAGAAGGACCAAAGAGCAGTCCAGCTCTAGAGGAGCTGCTGGTGCAGGCTGTGTCCCTGCAGAATGACAACTGCGGGATGCTGACACTCTTACCTGAACAAGCACTAAATGTTGCTTAGGTCAGTGGCAGTTCCCCTTTAATGCTTTTTACTTCTGGGGGTGGAATTTTCAGTTGTCTCCATCTTGTTTGGAATATTACAAGTGGTTTTACAAGTCCTGTGCTGCTTAAAACTTGCACAGCAAACTTTTGAGTGCAACGAGAAGTAGTTGAATTGTATCACAGTAAATAAAGCTGCTTTACTTGGGTGACAGTTGTAGCAACACATGGAAAGGTTGTCTTGGTGGAATAATCAGGACAAAAATAAGCAAGAATGGGGTTTGTGGGTGGGCTGTCCATGGCTGCCAGCCTGGCAGTTGGCATGGAGAAGAAGGTAGTACGTTAGCGTGACGTGACTTTCTTGTTCTCTTTCCATTATGTGTGTCAATTGATGAGAGTAGTTGTTGCAAAATATTAACATGAGAAGGTAAAACCCTGATGCAGAGCACGTACTGTGAATGCATGTCTTTTTCAAGGCTGAAATAGTCTTGTAAAAGGGGTGGGGAGAAATGGGTTATTTTGGTATGCCTTGGATCAGTTGGGAGTCTGACTTGGGGCCAACTGCTCCGTGTCATGTGCTTCAAATCTAGCTGGTAAACTGGTCACTGAGCCCAAAGTGCCAAGAAAGGCGGAGAGCAGCTCCGAAGACTCGAGCAGCTCCGGGGACTCCAAGGAGGAAAGGCGGAGGGCAGCAAAGGTCAGTGGATGCTCCGCTCTCCTCCCCAGCCTTCTTCTGCAGGGACGGGCCAAGAACCACCAGATGTGGGAGGATGTCTGGAATGCCCTTCCTGGCTGGATAGGGGTGTGTTGGAAAAAAATCAGGCCTTTGGTCATGTTCTTAAAGGCAGCACTGCCCCTTTCATGGTAGTCACACCCTGGAGTCACCTCCACGGGTCAACTGTTGGGTTGTCTGGCCCTTCGGCAGCCCAACTTTTGGATGCCACACTGCCCAGCATGTGCTGGAACTGGCCAGGGGTTGTTCAGGCAAAGGAGGTGGGGGTGCTGCACATGGAGCTCCCTCTCGGGCACGGCAGCCTGCAGTGGCTAACCCCGTGTGCCGTCATGTGCACACTGGGACTGCAAGAGTTTCTGGATTACCCAGTGTAATCTGAGAACTAGTCGCAAGGAACCTTGGGTGTCCAAATTTGCATCTCATGAAACGGCATATGATTGGGCACATGAAAGGTTGCGTGTTCAGATCGGAAGTGGTTTGTGTGCAGCACACAACTCAGCACATCATGGATTAATCAACCTGTGATTTGCGGCCATTGTATGCAGACTTGCCGTGGTATGTACTTCCCTTATGCTGGCCTGCTTCATGCCTCATACTTAGCCCATGGTGTGGGTTTTTGAATTCCCTTACCCATGCACAGCCCAGTAAGAGATTAATGGTTTGTTTTTGAGTAGTCAATTCTGGGTTGTTTAAAACATGCATGGTGACTGTGTGACAATTCAGGGCCAGTTGTTAGTCATAATGAACGAATGAAATGGATCATTTTCCATGGGGGAAGAAATTATATCTCAGATTACTAATAAAATTGACTTCCCTATATAGTGCAAATGTGCAGATGTTTGTCAGGCATAGATTTCCTAAAGTTGTGTCTTAACAACAGCGCCTTATTAGATATCAAATGTCTGTCATATGTGGCACTGGAGAGCCTTAAAATGAACACATTGACTGGGAATTGTAAGCAGAGGCTGCCCAACCAGGTGGACTCTCCTCTTGCTCACTTTCTGTGTGGGTGCCGGCAAAGGCATCAGAATGAAGCGTGGGCGGAAGGCTGCTCTTGTCTTGCGCTGTGCAGGTGGTGCTTGTGTGTCGAGATCCCCTCAGGCAGCGCAGGCAGTGGAGAGCAGAAGGCGGGGCTGCACCGAGATCCCACGGTGGGCAAGGGCTGCAGCTGGCCTCCCTTGTCTTTCCTGTAGTGTGCTCGGCTCTGTGGCTTACAGTGTTTACCGGCTTCTTTTGTTAGAAGGGAACAGTTCCCCAGGTGAAGAAGGCGGCCGTAGTGAACACAAAGCCCCAGAAGACACCCAGGAGTTCCAGTTCGGAGTCAAGTAGTTCTGACTCTGAAGACGAAGCTCCAAAGAAGCAGCCACCCAAGTCAGGGGCAGCTGTGAAGGCCGCCAGGCCAGCTGCTAAATCAGGTAACTCGCTCTTGTCAGTCAGTGCTGCAACGGGGAGGGTCTCAGTGGACAGAGAGAAGCTGTGCCGTGATTTTGCGCGTATGGAATTTGCTGGGCCTGTGAGGGTTTTGTGCAGACGTGGGACAGGGTGAGTTCCCGCCACTGGGGCTTGGGCCTTTGGCAGGGTTAGAGCAGGGGAAACGCGTGAGCATGCAGAGCCCCCGGCTGAGAAAAATCCCTTCCTGCTTGCTGAGTGCTTGCCCTCAGGTCTGCCTGAACTCGTGCCTTACAGCAGTGCTGGACTGAGATGTGACAGCGTGGGGGAGGGCAGAGGCCTCCCCCGTGTCTCCCTGTGTGCCCGCGCGGTCCCTGGCCACACTGCTGTGAGTGCCAAGGAGAGGCTGCCCGGGGCCTGCGCCCCTCCGACCCGTTCGCTCCCCGTGCCTCGAGGTGGCGCTCTGGCCCGCAGGGTCGGCCCCTCCCTGCCGGAGGAGCTTTGATGCCACGGCCCTGGTGGCCCGGCCTCTGCAGCGCGGCCGTGGAAGTGAGGGGTGGCCGGCCCCGCTCTAGGGCAGGGGGGTTCTGAAACTTTGGTGGCTGCCCCACTCCGGCGTGTGTTACAATGCACTGCTCTTGTTGCAGGGATTGCTGGCAGAAGGATTTGTATGGGTGGCTTGGAGCAGTTTGGGTTACAGAAATGTTTGGTAACTAGCCCCGAGTAGTAGACTTGAGGTGGGTTGCAAAAGTTTTCTTAGTAACGCATTGAAACAGCTTAGGGCTTGACGCATGCAGAGGAAGCGGGGTTTTGTGCTCGATCGTGGGTTGTCCTGACAGCCCAAAATCCTCTTCTTGATCAAATGGAGAGCAAGACTAGCTCTGGTTAGAATGCAAAAGACGGTGGTGCATGCTGTGGCCGAGCAACCTTCTTTCCTTTCGAGGTACACGCGTGTTCCCGGGGTAAGGTGCTAGGGGGTGCCTGCCAGGGACAGGTGGGCCACGCTCCCCTCCTTTCCCACCCTTTCTGCCACCCGCTTCCTGCCAGAGGCTGCAGGTCGCCTGCTCCTGGTCCTCTTTCTTCTACCCTGTCAAGCTGGAACTGGGAAATGGGGAGCAAAGCTGGAGTGGGTGCATATGTGTGTTGAAAGTGCTGTGTTAGGTTTTTCCAGTTGTCTGGCGCCCTCTTCACTTGAAATATTCTTTCTTTATCAGAAGTGGCAGCGAACATTGCCAGAGTGACGTCCAAAGCTACCAATGGCAAAGCTGAGAGCAGCAGCAGCAGCGACAGCAGCAGCAGCAGCGGCGAGGACTGTGGTGCAGGGAAGGCCGCCCCAGTGAAGGTAAGCAGCGAAGGTGACCCTAACCCTGGCAGCTGCGGAGTGCGCGCATAGCAGGTGCTCATACTGAGCCCCCCAGCCCAGTTACGCCGCATGCCCGTTTCCTGGGCGCCCCGTTGTCCTTCCCTTCCCCATTTCTGTTGCGTGTGAACGCACACGTGCGTGCATGCAAAATCGGGGTGTTTTGTGGCCACTAAGCACAGCCCAGCTTCATTTTACTGTTCCGGGCGTTTCTTGCTCCTCAAGGCCTCTTGCCGTTTGCTTTCGTGCTTCAGCAAATCACGGAGCCTTGCAGGGCCTGCCTCTTGCTCATGCGTCCTGCTTTCTGTGCACAAGAGGCAGAGGGGATGGTGAATTTGCTCTTTCATCTCCTTTCAGTTACTCAGGGAGGCTGGTTAGGTTGTACGTTGGCACTGAGTTTCTGCCAGTGACCTTTTTCAGCTTTACTCTGATTTCGGACATTAATAGTTCGTATACACTAACTGCAGTGTGATAATGTTTTGGGGGTGAGAATACCGCTTCTCCATCTTCTGCTTTCAGTCATGAGGTCTGTTTGATTTCTGTAGTGGCCCCTTGGTGATGTCCTCTTGTACAGTCAGTTGCCTTCCATGTCTCTGGCTTGACAGTTCTATTGTGCCATGTGTGGCTGGCAGGGGAAAACGTATGTGCTCTACACTGCCCTGGAGTACTCCTTGGAATAAAGGCAGGGTATACAATTTTTTAAAATAAAATAAACAAACTGGTAGCATTGAATGGCTGGTCTTGAGAAACATCAACCCTAATTGTGGTGGTCTGCCATCGTTTTTCCTGTAATTAGAATAAGCTAAAAAAAGCACCGCAGTCAAAATTGGAAGGTGCTCGATTGCCCCAGGCTAAAGGCAAGGCTGCGAAGAAGAGCAGCAGCAGCGACAGCAGCAGCGACAGCGACGATTCTTCCGACAGTTCAGATGCAGAGAAGCAGACTCCAAAGCCGAAGGCCGGTGAGTGTGGGAAACGTGCTAGTTTGAGGCCATGGGCGGCCCCTCCTTCGTTGAATGGCAAGTTCAGCCTTCTGTTCCGCAGAAACTCAGGACTCGATGGAAAGCTGTGTCTGTCACTGAGCTGCATTTTGCACCCCGGAACAGATGGGCAGAAAGTAGCTCTAGGTCTGTTGGACAGAAGTGATGGATGGTCTGGAAATATTCTGAATGAATGAATGGCAGAGAGTTTGAGGTTCTGTGCCCTATTGAAAAAACAAACCACCGAGTTCCTTTTCACTTTAAAAGCTGAAAGGCATGAGGAATGCTGCTGGAGACAGTTCGCATCATTTCATCTGTGCACTGCTTGCGTCTTCCCATGTGGCCGTGCCGTGGGCACACCTTAGTCCTCCCGAACACCCCTGTCTCTTTACAGGCCGGTACAGCGCCGTGCCACCCCCTTCGTCCACGGAATCGAGGAAAGGCAAAGCACAGCCTCCCACCACAAAGGCTTGCAAGAAGGCAGAGGGCAGTAGCAAAAAGGAGGTGGGGCCCAAGAAGAAAGCAGAAGGTGCGTATTGGAGGGAGGGGCACTGCAGAAGTGACTGGACACTCTTGCTTGAAGGCCTGGTTGGCTGCGGAGCAGAAACTTCTAGAAAGCAGAAGGATGCTCCATGGAGGGAAACCTTTGTTGCTATTCTTTTAAGTTACTAGGCTAAACTATTGTTATGCAGGGAAAAGGCCAATAGGCCAAGCATCGCTGCACAGATTTTAGTGTTTTGCAGGTAGGATTAAGCCTTAAATTACCTGTATTTTCTAAGAGCTGAACTCTATTCTTGGGCTGATTGGAACCTCCTTGGAGGGAAATGGAACGGTCCGGACCTTGTGGGGCAGGGGCAGTGGTGCGTCTGCCAGGGCGTGGCTGCTGCTTGGTGTATTTGAAGTTGCCTGTGGCAACTGTTGCCGGTCTGTTCCCTTGGGATTGCATGGTTCCCGTGAAGGAGCAGTGAGAGCATGTATTTTTCCTGCAGCCAAAGAACCTGCCCGTAAACAGCCACCTGCCCCCAAAGCGGTTTCTCAAAAAGAAGAGACGAGTTCCGACAGTGACTCAGGTGGGTGCCCGCACACTGGCAGGTCATTTCTCCGGGTCAGCCCCTGCAGTGGGTTGTGAGCATGCATTCTGGCCTCAGGCCTGGGCCGGCTGGAAGGAGGCAGGCTCCACGTGGACTGCAGCCCATCCGGGGCTGTGGGGAGGCCCCTGGGGGCAGGAAGCGTTCCCCTTGCGCAGCTCCCACTCCTGCCTGAGAGCCACTGAATGCAGTGCCTGCTGAGAAGTGAGCCTCGAAGCTAGCCCGGAATGAAGCATGCTCTCTCTTGGCATAGATTCCAGCTCTGAGGAAGACGCGGAGCCAGCCAAGCCCTCGGCGAAACCTGCGGCGGCGAAGGGAGCCGCCAAGCCAGCTCAGGCGAAGCAGAGGGCCAGCTCCTCTGACAGCTCAGGTGCGAGGGGATGCGCGTGGCGCCCCATGGATGATCCGCAGCCCCTGGCTCTGGCCCGCGAGCAGGAGCGACACGCTGCCTTGCCACTTGGCCGGTTCTGCCGCAGCAGGCGACTGGGCAGCGTCACTGCTGAGAGACGCTCATCGGATCCGCGTGGCTTGGTCTCCCCGTTCAGGGCCGCCACCCTCAGTGAGCGACCCGGGTCACCCTGCCTGGATTCCAACAAGGCGGCCTTGCGGACTGGGCCGTGGGAGTGGTGGAAGCTCGGGGGAGGCAGAGGCAGCCCCGGCTACCCAGGCCGGCCAGGAGCACAGAGGTGTTTCGGCGGGGGGTCGTTGCCCGTTCCGTTGCCTGAGCCGGGACAAGCCGTTGCGAGGGATGAGCCGCCTGGCTGGAGGGCTTGTGCAGGGCCCTCGCCAGCGGGAGTGCCCCGGGGATGTTGCTTTCCCGAGAGGGGAAGGGGTTGGGGGAGGAGTTCCCAACCGGGGTTCAGCCCTCTGGACGTGAGCAGAGGCTTATCTTCCAGCCTGCTAGAAGGTTTTTAGAGTTACTTTGTAGCTGTGTGCATTGCGAAGAGACTGCCCAGCGTTTCATTCTCTATGTGGCGCCTCTGTTGCCATGGCACTGGGAAAGGTGCCCTCTGCCGCCGCCATGGCGCAGCCGTTCTGCCGGGACTCCAGGCCTGAGGGAGGTGCGCCCTCCGTGTCCCGGCGCCCCGCCTGGCCCATATAGTGGCAGCTGTTGGGCCGGCGCTGGAGCCCAGTTCCACTGGAGGCCTGGCGTCTGGACACTTGGGGCTGCAGGCTGCCACTGCCGGAGCCTGGGGATCCACCCTCCCAGAGTGCCCTGCCCTGCTCTGCGCGGAGGGACCATTAAATTCCAGTCACCAGATGAGTGACAGAATGTAACAAAATGCTCGCCGATTCTCGGCCCAGCCTACCTCACAGGGCTGCTTTTGTGAAGAGAAGACTGAGAACTGAAGGAGGAGGATATAAGCCGCCCTGAGATTTTTAGAAAAGAAAAAGGCAGGATATAAATCAGAAAAATAAATGAATAAATACTTGGTGCTGCAAAACTGGTTTTGTCAATGTAGTTTAGTTTTTAATCATCCGTTTCCATGCTAGATTCTGACAGTTCTGAGGATGAAGCCCCTGTGAAGTCCGCAGCCGCCAAAACAGAGAAAAAGCTTCCTCGGGTGGCGGTGAAGAAACCCGCTGCCAACGCTGAGGAGAAAAGCGCGCCTAAAAAGTCCCCTGCTGTCGCGAAGGGGGCCAAACCGAGCGCCAAAGCCGTCCCCCCAGTCTCCAGAGCGAGCAGCTCAGACGCGAGCAGCTCAAGCAGCGAGGAGGAGCCCAGTGCGCCCGGGCGGAAGCCGGCCGGCCCCTCGGCACAAGGCGTCAGTGCGGTGGCCCGGAAGCCGCCGCCGCCCTCCTCCAGCAGCAGTTCCTCCGATAGCTCCAGTGAGGAAGAGGACGGACAGCAAGGAGGGGGGGCGAAGGCGAAAGCGAAAAGAGGCTGCACCGCCTCTGGGAAGAAGCGGCCGAAGTCTTCGTCCACCCCCGTGAGCAAAACGCCGGCCTCGAGGAAGCCGGCTGTGGCAGAGGCCGGCAACTCCACGAGCAGCAGCTCTGATGAGGGGGCCGTGAACGGAGGTGAGGCACGGGCCAGGGGGCAGTGTGTGGCTCGGGCCAGGCGCCAGTGTGGAGGCAGCAGAGGAGGGTGCCAGGCAGGGCAGCGGGCGGGGGCGGCAGGGCCCCCTGCGCCAGGAGAGCAGGCGCTGGCATGCCGCCTGCATGCAGCAGTGGAGGAAGGCCCTGGGAAGGCGCTCCCCATGGCTGCGCGTGACCCTGGAGCAAAACGGTTTTCCCTCGTGGCATTAAACTGCTACTTACCTTTAGAAGAACAACTCCAGGCGAGCCTTAGCCAGGCCCCGCCACTCCAGCTCAGTTCTGGTGATTCGAGCCTGTAAGCCAGTGCTTGGTCTCCTTGTGGCTGTGCTGAAGGGAGTGGGGAGGGCAGGCCACCCCCGCATGCAGGGCTGTGGCTCAGGCCCCCAAGTGAACTGGCTCTGCCTGTGCAGGGCCCCTCTGGCGCCAGGCGTGTGCGGCTCCTCCCAGGGACGTGCGGCCTGCAGGCTCCTCTCGGGCAGGCCTGCTGGCCCCAGGCCAGAGCCGGGCGGCTCCCCACGCCCACAGCTTTGCCTGGGGGCCCAGTGAGGAGTCCCGTTCCGCCTGTGAGTGTGCCGTTGAGTGAGGCCTCTTCTGTTTGTGTACTCACTGTGGAAGACATGGCAGGTGCAATCAAGAAGAAACGGGAGGGTGAGCAAGAGATGGAGACCCCCGAAGTGAAGAAGGTGAAGCCCAGAACACCGCACACGTTCCCCAAGACAAAACGGGTGAGTGCGGCAGCGGGCCGAGCTGAGCGGCGGTTCTTCTGGTAAGGAGAGCTGCCGGAACCTTTGTTCCCGGTGGCGCGCCTCCTGCCTGAGGGATGGCGGCGGTCAGGGCGACCTTGCGCTCCCCGTCAGGTTCTCATGGCAGCTGCAGCCAGCGTGACAATGCCACCTGCCCCTCCTTTTCTAGCAGCAGTCCAGCCCCTTCCGCAGAGTGAGAGCAGAGGAAGTAGAGGTGGACACGCGGCTAGCGAACAACTCCTTCGAGGCCAAGGTAAGGCGGCGCTGAGCCGCATGCAGCGACGCGCGGCCCCCTTGCGAGAGCGCTTGCAGGCTCGTGGGCCGCTGCCCTGACCGTCCTCCTCTCGCAGAAAGGAGCTGCTGGCGACTGGGCTGCAAAGGCGAACGACGTCTTGAAGTTCACCAAGGGCAAGTCCTTCCGCCACGAGAAGACCAAGAAGAAGAGGGGAAGCTACTGCGGCGGCACCATCTCCACACAGATAAACTCCATCCGGTTTGACAGCGACTAGGGCCTCAGCCGCCTGCAGGGCCCTTGAGCCCGTGAAAGGACAACGCGGCGGAGGATATTCCCTGCGGGACGTTGCCTCACACGACCCTCGCTCCGCTCATGCGCAGGGCGCTCGCCCCTCAGCTGCAGGGCGTATGGGGAGATGCGTGGCTGTGCCTGTCTGGATCCCAGACGGCGCTGGCTGTGTGTCGTTTACTTTAGGTGCCCAGAGTTCAGTTCCTGCAAGCCGCTGAGTTGCCTGCTCCGTCGCATTCACGTTCTGCGGGGAGCGGGCCTTACGTGCAGTTTGAAGGACGCCCCCTTGCTCGGTTTAAAATTGCCTGCCGGGTGCCTTTCAAGCAGAGTGGCTTGCCAGCTTTCCCAGGTTTGGTCTGCCCCCTTCAGTCTTCTCTGGGACGCCCTGAAAGCCCCCGTCCTCCAGCAGCCGGGCCCCGTGGCCGGGCCCAGGAAGGTCTCTTCCTTGACTGGCCATGGCTGCCGAGAAACAACCACTCGCAGCCTCAGATTTAGTTACCGCGCCAGTTCTTTCCAGCAGCCAGGCAGGGAAAGGGCTGACAGGGAAGTCACTCTGCCCTGCTGCACTGGTCATCGCGTGATGGCCGCCCAGCCAGGGAAGGGGCCTCGTGCAGCGCTTCTGCCCACCGAGCACGGCATGCACAGCGGCCTCTGCGTCCGGCGGGAGCTCTGTTCCCTGGCCCCTCCACTGCCATGGAAAGCGGCAGTGCCGCTCCCTGGCCCCGTGGGTGGGCTGCGCAACGGGCTCGCTGGGATGTGTTGCGGGCGACCACACGGGCCGCGGCAGAGTGAGGGCAGGTGGGTCACAAGCGGGGGGGCGGGGGGGCCGGGACGTTTCTGCAAGGGGAGTGCGCTGCTGCCTTGCTCCCTGCCCGAAGAGTGACGCGGCAGTCCAGCTTGCCGTCGGGCCATTTTGGCTCCCCCTGCCTTGAGTGTCGCTGTGACTCAAAATCCACCCACAGCAGACGTTGCGTCAGCATTTTATTTCAGGGTTAAAATGAGGTGACAAAATACCCGGATGCCCAGATAGGTTGTTCCTTTCACATCCCGGCTTGTTCGCTGCAGGAGAACAGGCACAAGGGCCTGTCAAGATGTGACTTTTACACTGTGTGGGAAAGTGGTGATTTTGTCCAAAGAGAAGCGTCTCTAGTACAATAAAAATGTTTCGTACACGTCGGCCATTTTGGCCCAGCCTTAGAAGGATGTGTTGGAAGAGGCCGTGACGAGCCTTCCCGGCATCCCAGGGCAGAGGAGGCGGTTCCATGTTCCCCTGCTGGCCTGTTGGGCTCTGGCCACACAAGTGGCCTGTGGGTGGGGCGCAGGTGGCGTCCCCCGGGCATCACCTGCCGGCTGGCCAGGCTCCTGCGGCGAGGGTGGAAGCCACCGCGAGGAGGCTGCGGCCAGGCAGGCGGAGGCTGCGGGTCCAGGCGCTTCCTCCCACCCCCCCGCCGCCTGCCCCCACGTGTCGATGCCCCCGAGGGGCTCCCCTGCCACGGGCCTTCCGGGAGTGGGGAGGCGCAGTCACGCTCGGGGGCTTTGCAGAGGCATGGCGCGGGGACGCCGGCCGGGCAGGCGGGCCTTCGGTGAGCTGCTGCCTGCCTCCCTGGGGGCCACTGCCTGCTGTGTCCACTGCGCAGAGGCCTCGGAACACACTCTTTGGTGGGCACGCTCTGGCTAACGCGCCCTCCGGCCAGCCTCAGAGCCCTCTGGTGGCCACTGCGGATCTGGCTCAGCACTTCCATGGGGCCTGTTTCTTCTGAGGTGTCTCTTCACAGCTCTGAGGACTATGAGCTTGCTTTACGGTGGCTGGCAGTTTCAGGAGGCGCCTTCTGAGCTCCCGCAGACTTTGCAGGCACGGTCCATCTCCAGTGGGATGCGGCTGGGCCGGGCCAAGGCCAGACGTGTGTGCAGGCATAGCCGGCCAGTGGGGGGGCGGCTGTCATGCCTTCCAGGGAGGCACGGCAGAGCATGTGGGTCAGCTTTCTCGTAGCAGGACGGTGCGAACGTGTGTTTCCTGGGACCGCCACGCTTCTGTGCTCATCACAGGATGACTCCCTGCCCTTTCCCTTGTGAGGAACCCGAGGTGCCTGCAGGGCTCCGTGTTGTCCTCACAGCCGCCCCGTGAGGCAGGCGAGGCCCAGCGCGTGGGGCAGGCCCTGGGTCACCGTGGCTGAGTGAGAGCCAGGAGCCGCCAGGCGCTTGCCACCACACCACACAGCTCTTGCGCGTGCGTGTCCAGGGGACGGGGTGAGCACGGGGTGCCTCCTGGCGTGCTCACGAGCAAGGCGTTCAGCCGCTGCCTTGCATGCTGCTCCCGCTTCCCAGACCCTCCCCTCCCCGTGCTCCGGTGCGCATGGCGAGTGTGGACCCTGCGCAGTGGCGTTTGCGCAGAGCGCCTTCAGGAAAGGGCCGTCCGTGGTCTCCCTCTTTGCAAGTGTGGAAACGGGCATGGAGGCGGGGAAGAGACAGGCTGAGCTCCCGCCTGAGTTCATGCTGAGGACCCCCAGTGCTCCCTTCCCGCTTCGAACCCAGAGAGGCAGTGAGATCCCTGAAGGAAGAGGAACGGGCAATTCTAAAGCACCGGCCTTACTTCCAAATCCGCAAGCAGGACTGCAGCCCATCAGCAGTGGGCTTCACGTAGAGAGGGTGGCCCTTCCCGCCGGGCCCTCCTCCGAGTCTCCTCTCAGGCGCACCCCGCAGCCCCCTGGAGGGCCGTGCCCCCTCCCCCACTGCGGGAGGGGGGGCACAGGCTTTTGTGCGGGGATGCCCAGGCAGGCTTGTGCCCGCTCAGGTGGACAGGAAAGGCCTGGGCTTAACTGAGTCGCATTTCGGTTCTGAAGTACCAAATGTGCCTGGAAGAGCTTCACTCGTTCAAACATTTCAGCAGGAGGCTTGAGAAGCTGGATGTAAAATTTGAAATGTTCTGGAACGGAGGACACTGTGAGCAGTCTGTGGATTACCAAATAGGTATATTTCAGACCTAGCAATGTGCTCTGGGGCCCCTTGGCCAAGGGTTCAAGGAAGCCTATCAGGCAAAGGCAAGCGCGTGTCGTGGGGCTTCTCTTTTGCCCGCCAAAGGAGCAGGGGAGCCGCTGCCTCGGCCGGGCTTCCTGGAATAACTGCGTGCATGTGGTCAGCGTGGTTTGACTGATTTTATTCGTGCTGGGGGCGCGGGCGCTGCTTATTGCCGAAGGAAATTGATGGGATGCGGCTCTGTGTGCGCCCGTGGACCTCCCGCCTGGCATCCGACAGAAGCAACCTCCTTGCCCGCTCCGGTGGCGGAGGGGCCAGCAGCCGCGGAGCCCTCCCAGGCGCCGTCCTGGGCGCAGGCGGGCCGAGGCAGCCCCACTGCTCCCGACATACTCCAGAGCCCACATACTCCAGAGCCCGTGCGGCGGGGGCCGGAGCCGGTTCCTGCCTCTGCCGGCCTGGGCCTGCTCTCCGCGGCACCCCGGCCTTCTTCCCGGCGCCGCACCTCGCTTGGTCGCCTGCCGGCAGCTTTTGCGGCCCCTTGCCAAGATGCCCGCACAGCTCCCCCGCGCGGCGTTGCCTGGCCCCCCGCGCCCCTCTGCGCTCCGCGCACAGCGCCCTCTGCCAACCACGCAGCGCCCGGCCGGGCCAAGGGAAGGGAAGGGAAAGGAAAGGGGCCCGGCGCATTGCGCGCGGGCTTGGCCGGCGCACCCCGTCCGTTCTTGCGCACAGCTTTTGGTTGGGGCGGCTGAGGGGCGCGGGCACACCCGGGAGCCGAGGCGCCTCTGTCCCTCTGCGAGAGCCGAGCCGCCGGCCTCTCCCTCTCCCTGAGCTGCGGGTGCAGCACAATGGCTGGGCCAGGCCGACGTGGCACTCCGAGCTGCCCGGGGGTGCCGCTGCCCGCCGGGCTTGTCCGTGAGTTCGCACACTTCTCCGGAGAGGCCCCGCTCTGTTGGTGGCGAGAGGACCGGCGGGGATGCGGGGCGTGCCTGGGCGGCGGCGGCGGCGGGGCGCTCAGTGGGGCGCCCTTCATACGGGCCTGTCCATCGCGTACTGGCAGGGGCTCAGCCCAGAGGCGGCTGCCGTCTGCACCGCCGGGTAGGTGAAGTTGGCGTGCTGCTTCGCCTTCAGCCGCAGGCTGGCCAGGCTGGAGTTGCACGTGTCCCGGTACACGCAGGGGCTGGCGTAGGGGCAGGCGCTGGACGAGGCGGCGGGGCTCAGGCCGGGGCTGCCGAGGGTGCCGAGGGCCGGGCCGGGCACGCCGGTCACGGTGGAGGGGACCATGGAGGAGGCCACGGGCACGGAGCCGATGGAGCTGGGCGCGGAGAAGACGGGCTGCGACGAGAGTGGGTTGACGCTCACCGAGTTGAAGAAGGGGAAGCTCTTGGCCGGCAGCGGGCTGGCCGCCAGGCCCTTGGTGGCCCAGCTGTTGTACGAGTAGCCGCCGTACACCTCATCGTACGGCTGCATCAGTCCGTTGAACTGGGCCCCGAAGCTGCTCTTGCACAGCTCCGCCTGCTGGTTCCGCTCTCGCTTCCTCCACTTGGCTCGGCGGTTCTTGAACCACACCTGGAAGGGCGAGGAGCACCTGCTCAGCCTTCGGTGGCAAAGGGCAGCGAGCTGGCCTGGCTTGAGGCGCTGGAAACCAGGGGGCTCGGGGGCAAGCCCACTGGGGCCTCGGCTGGCAGGTGGCTCGCGAAGCGAGGGGCGGTAGGCGCGGAGCACCACGCGTGGCATCATGGCGCGTGCACAGCAGCCTGCCCTCCAGAGGTGGTGGGACTGCCCTGCCCATCATCCTGAGCCATGTATCCAACACAGCTGGGTGGCAGCATGTGGAGGAAGGCCGGTGCACAGACACGCTGGAATCGGGGGTTCCTTCAAAATGTATCCGTTTCACCGGCCTCTGGGGCACATGACCGTGCAGCCGTGCGCCTCTCTGCCGGAACACAGCAGGTCCTTGCTGACCCACCAGGGCCGCCCCCCCGGATTCAGGTGGAGGGTCGCCCTGCTCTGCCTGTCATGGGGCTGGGCCCTCCCTCTGCTCCGGCCACGCTCGGGGAGGACCCGGCGGGGTGGGGTGGGGTGGGGCGGGGCAGGCGTACCCGCACTCGGGCCTCGGTCAGGTTGGTCCAGACGGCGATCTCCTCGCGGGTGCTCATGTCAGGGTAGCGGTTCCTCTGGAAAGTGGCCTCCAGCTCCTGCAGCTGCTGGCTGGTGAAGTGCGTCCTCTGCCGGCGCTGCTTCTTCTTCAGGCAGCCGTCCTCGGCGTTGGAGTCATCGGTCTGGTTCTGCTGCGGCTTTTCTGTGTCTGAGAGCAAAACCGCAGGGTCGCCATGGAGGCGTGCGGGAAGGGGGGGCTGCACCCCAGTTGGGAGGGAGGCAGCCCGGCACCCCTGCTGCGTCTGGCACACGCTAAGGGAAGCCCTGCGGGCCTTCTCATGGGGTCCTTCCCCAGACAAGCAGGCTGGTCGGAGTTCCAGTTCAGCCCAGTTCATTTCCTGAGGACGGTGAGGAAGAGAGTGCAGCTTCCCTGGGCCTGGCACCCTTTCCCCCCTGCACCCCATGATATGCTCGCTGAATCACCCCCACACTTCTCTGCAGAATGGCTTTGTCAGAGGGGGCCGACCTGGCGCCTGCTTGTGCCACTGGCTCTGCGATCCCTCCTGGGCTCCCACCCTGGATCTCCGGGCAGGGCAAGGGGGGCAGAGTTTGCTTTCGAACCAAAGGAACAGGCAGCACCCTTAAGCTTACAAGCCGGTGGCACTAAAAGGTGGAGGGATCCCGCTGTGGGGTGGGGGGCAGGCCTTGCTTCCCGCATGCCAGGAGGGCCAGAATCGGGGCCCCCAGACACAAGGGAACAAACCAACCCCTCGGAAGGGCACCTGAGCAGACCTCGCTCAACTACATTTCAGGTGCCGTATTTGATGCAGCCCAACAGGCCCGAGCCCAACTCGTGTGTGTGCCCAGGGCCGCGCTCGGCCACGGCACCGCAGGGGACGAAGGCAGCCTGGGCCAGCCGCACCTCTTTCCACCGGGGGCAGCCCGCACCTCCGAGGGAGGGGAGGCCCGCTGGCACTTACCGCTGTGGTCGTGCCCCTGGCAGCCGTGCTCCTGCTGAGGCGTCCCGGAGTCTGGGAGGGAGAGTGCGGGGCTGCGGGCTTCCGAGTCAGTGAGCAGGTGGAACTCCATCGGCCTGGAACAGAACGGGTGGGGAGCTGCTGGGGGGCCACGCAGGGGAGGCGCCCGGGATGCGACCGAGGGCCACGGGAGGCTCCAAGAAGCCCCGTGCGAATGCTGCGGGCCCCGTGACCGAACCCCCGAGGGGCTCCATGGGGCCGGGAGCCCTGGGGGCTGGGCTGGGCCGGGCCAGGCAGGACAAGGCAGGGCAGGATGGCCGGCCGCTGTTATTCTTTGCAGACCCTTCTGTGCAGGGATGGCAGGGGAGCTGGCCGGCCCTCAAACACCAGGGAGCAGCTCTGGTTGCCTCTGCTGCCAGCCCCGTTCCCAGAGGAGCGGGAGGGCGACCCGGTGCTACACAGACCCACAGCGGCAGGAGGGGGTGCTGCTCCCGAATTCGCTGGCCAGGCCTCCCTGCCTCCCTGATGTCTGTTGCTTCAGTCTGCACTTTCCTCAGTGAGTTAAGGCTGCCCACGTGAATGTGTGCGACATAACGCACATGGTTTTTTTCTTCTTTGCAAGAAATGTAAGTGTTCTTAAAGGAAAACCTTTACAACCAATTCCTTCTAGGCATGCGTGAATGTAAGCGTTAGCCATCGGACATGCGCATGCACACAGCAAGCAAGCAAGCAAGCAGCCGTGTGTGCCCACCCCCACCCCGTCAGTGGGTGTCCTCACACAGGATGCACTGTGAAGGGAACTGCGCAACAGGTTATGGGTTGTGTGAGGAGTGCAGGTCCTCGGTGGCACTCATTTTTGCTGCAGCTTTTGCATGCTGTTTGGAACTGCAGCAATGCAGGGAGCACGCCTTCCCGGGACTGAGACTTGGTTAAGATGCGTGCAACTTGTCTGTCTCTGAATGTACTAAGCTCCTCTCTCAAGGAAGCAGAGATGGCCTTTCCTCCTCTTTGTGTGACTGCATCTCTTCCATGGGTTCCCACAGCACTGCTCAGTGTCCGACTCGACTCTCCCCTTCACCTGCTGAGGCACAGCTTGGCCCTGGGTCTGGCTGCAGCAAAGCAGCACCCGCTCACGCTGCTGCCTGCTCTCGGCCAAATGCCCCAGTCTGCACTCTCGCTGGAGGTACATGGAACCGTGCGCCGACTCGGACCGGGCAACTCCAAGCCATGCGCTGAAGCCACATGCTGGTGCTGCCCAGTATTCCTATTTCCCGTCTTCCTGAGAATCTGAGCACATCCGTGCCCTGGCTGCACATGCGTTCCCTTAGGACAGGAGCTGCCGGCCAGCGGTGGGTCTGCTCCTCCCCGTCAGAGCAGCGTTCCTTTCCAGTTCCAGGAAGAAACGGGCCTTGAGTTGTTCAAGGAGGAATTCCTCTATGGCGACTTCCTAGCACTGGATTTAAGTTTAACTGCTATTTCCAATTCAGGGTATTCAAAAAAGTCCACCCGCTGTTCAGTGTCTCAAAACAGCTCAAGTTCGGCTTTAGGAAAACTCCTATCCAGGCTGGATATACTCATAGCGTTGTTTTCTCATCTCGTACTTCAATGTCCATTTTTTCCTATTTCAGACTTGGTGAACTCACGATCTTCATGCTCCCTACTGCTATTAGCACATTCAGTGTAAGGTTTTCTGTTAACTTTTATCCTGCCTATCAGCTTAACTTCCTATAGGGAAGCTTTTCATTCTTTTATTTCACTTCTAACCTGCCTCATAGCTGAAGTTCTCCGGGCAGTTTACAACGCTCCCTAAAAACAAGACAACAGCATGCAATAAAAATACCGTACAGTCAGAGACATTCAAAGATTTCCAGCAGCTCAAACAGAGCAAAGAACAGCCTTATTGAAAAAAACACCTGGGACGGGTTGTCGCCCAAGCACACCGGTGGCAACACGCGCCGCAGCTGCCCCACGCAGCGGTTTCATGCAGATGTGGACTAAGGTGGGGTCAAGGCCAGCGCTGGGGTCAAGGCCATGCCCTGGTGCCAGGGAGCCGGCTGAGAGCCAGGGCTCAAGCGTGCCGATGCTGCCCGCTCCCCAGGGCTACCTGCTCCAGGCATGGGGCTGAAGACCTCAGGATGATGAAGGGATCGGGGCGAGAGAGGAACGGGGGATCCACCTGGTTCACAATCCACAGCCTGGGCAGGTTAATGCTTTGCACAGAGCACCCTGACGTGCTTTAGCCGCGTTGGCCTCTGGAAACGACCCAGATGCACAGACAGTTTCTGGCCTTCTGCTTCGGCAGGGCTGGGGTCGGGCTTGTGCTATCCTGCCGCAGCTGCGCAGGCCCCCAGCCTCCTTCCCATCTTGGTCTCGGGCACTGCTGCTTCCCCGCAGGGCCTGGGCAGCCGCTGGACCCCTCATGCAACGCAACCCCGGGAACTGTTCCGTGATCCGCAGAGGATGCACAGGGCAGGGTGTGGGGCGAGAAGGCGGTTGGCAGCGTTGCCCCAGGGGGGTGAAACGGCCCTGGCCCTGACGGGGCTGCCCTGCGCGACTTACTTGCATTGAAGAGGAAGGTGGGCTGCCTAATGATGCACCACTTCTCTGTGGCTTGCAATAAAAATTCAACAGAAGACACGCCATTGCAGAAGCACATGCAGCTTCAGGCTTTTCAGAGGAGATTGTAAAAGCCGCCTCTTCCGCCGGCCTTTGGCAGGCAAGTTCCTGGTGGTTTTAAACAATTCTCAATTGCAGCTGCTTAATTTGTTGTAAATGTTATTTGTACTATTTTACTTTGTTGGAAGCCACATTAAGCCTTTGGAAAGGTTAAGGGAGGCAGAGAGTGGGAATAAATGGTGCTTTCTCTCAGGAGAGTGATGCAAAGGGCAAGGAAGGTCCCACAGGGGCCAGCATGGGGACCGGTAGAACGAGAAACCGAGTGAGCAGCGCAGCGGCTGAGCTTACTGGGGACACCAAAATTGTAGGGTGGTTGAAACCAGAAGGGATCTCGAGGGGCTCCCGACGGACCTCTCCAAGCCGGGAGGAGGGGCACCGAAGCGCCAAGTGCAGCTCCGGTAAGGAAGGGTGGGAAGCACGCACGGGGCAAAACGGCTGGCTTCACGCAGAGGCTGAGGGAGGGGATCCCGGTGCGGTGGCACAAACGCCAGCCAGCCCCCTGCAGGGCGGCTGCGATGCGAGGCGCTCTCCACGCCGCGCACAATTGGGAAAGGTCCCGAAAGTGGCGCTGCTAAGACCGTGCTCGCCTCGGACAAACCTTTGCGTACGTTTCTGATCACGCTACCTGAGAAAGGACATCACTGAGTTGGAAAAAGTGCAGAGCAGGCGAACCCGGATGAGGAGGGGGTTGCGACAACTCCCCTGTGGGGTCTCAGCCAGGTCTGCCTAGCTTTCGAAAAGGCGAGTGCAGGGAGACATGATGGAGGTGCTCAAAATGATGATGAAGAAAGGCAGAGAGGGAGAGACTTGCCGGCCTCCCCCACCGAACTGGAACCTGAGGGGCCCCCAGGAAGCTGATCTTTGGAGCTGCAGGACCAACCGAAGGAGGGCCTCTTCGAGCATCGGCTGCCCGGTGAGGTGGCGACGGCGCCGGGACGAGAGCTGCGCAGGAGGGGGATCCTCCTCGTGTCCTATGGGCAGCTGCCTGGCCTAGACGGCGCCTGCGTCCGCACGTGAATGCTCCAGGTGAAATATACCAGTTCGTCACTTCGAAGGACGGAAGGAAGGAAGGGACCTTCACTTGCTTCTCCTTGCTCTGGCCCATCAGCGCAGAATTCCAGGGCCACACGCCACAGGAGGGGCCAAAGGCAGCCTTGGAAGTGAGTGAAGCGACCAGCAGGACCCTCCGAGGAATAGGCTATTCCGGCTGGGGGCCGATTGCCCTGGCTATCGAGGCTGTTAAAGACCGGATCCTAAAAGATGCGTATGAACGCGGCATCCAGAAGAGACTGGCGGACGTCTGCGGTGCCCGGACAGCACAGCACTCTCTCTCGGGCTCCCTTTCTTCTCCACCCTTATTCCCCGCTCTTCTTTCAAGGTGCTCAGAGGATGCGCCTTCAGTCCCTGTTGGAACAAGCGAGAGGAACAGGCTGGGCAGCTCTCTGTCTTCCGTTCAGTTTGGTGGGAGGCATGTTTGGTTGCAGCTCTTTCGCACAAAAATTTAAGGACTGTGTCAAGAAAAATCGGAGAAACTGTTCCGAAGCACACAAGTAGTAAAATCAAAATCTGGTTCCATAACGTATTGCTTGGGAAACAGCTAGTATTCCGCTAATTAAATATTGGCAGAAACTCCAGCCATTCAGATAGAACAGACAGAATAAGTTTTGACCCAGTGAAGCAGTCCCTAGATGGATGGATTAAAGCAATTGTTTTGTTATAAAAACCGCATGGGAGGAAGTTTATGGGAACATTGGAGCAAACGCACGCATCATCCCGTGCCTCGGTGCCTGTTTTCACGTTGCTGTATAGGAAATGCTCCGGCACCTGTATTATTTTTATACAAGCGCTCACGTGTGGGATCACAGCTGCCCAGCTTGCTGTGACGTCGGGCACTCTCCGGTTCAGTCTTCGAAGACGTGATTATTGCACGATGAAAGTAAAGGGTTTCTGCTGGTGAGGATTTTTAGCGTGCGGCGGGAGAAGAAAGCAGGGGAACCATGTCGCCAAGACTCCGACAGCGGGTGGCCGTGGCTGCCGGCTGCGCGAGCTGCCTGGAGCAGTCTGGCGCCCCAGTCCCGGTCGGAGGCGGTCCGGCAGCGGCGGGGGTGCCTGGCCCGGCCCCGCCCTCAGCGGCCGAGCCCCCTGGCTCTTCCCGGAAAGCCCCGCGGAGCCCCGCGAGCCGAGGGGTGCTGCGCCCGGCGCGGCCGCCCGGCGCGCTCCGGCCTCGGGCCAGGTGGGCTCCGTGGGGCCGCCGGCCGTGGCTGCGTGCGCCAGGGCTCGGCGCGAGGGGGGGGGGGCGCCGTGGTCGCAGGCACGGAGCGCTTGCCCGGGCGCCTCGGGACCTACGGGCCAGGCGGAGCGTGCCCGGCCCGGCGCGCCTTCTCTCCTACCCCGGGAAGCCGCCCGAGCGCCCCTGAGCGCTGCCGGCCGGCGGGCCGCGGCGAGCGGGAGCGAGCCGGGCGGGCTTCCTTCCGGCCTCCCCGCTCGCCAGGGCTTCCCTGTCGAGGAGAGCGGCGCATCGAGGCGGCCTGCCGTCCCGCGCCGCGAGCTCAGCCCTGGCAGCACCAAACGGGGACAAGCTCGACTTGCACCGCAACCCCGCGCCGCCCGCCCGGGCAAAACGGTGCGCTCGCGGCCCTGCTCGCCGGTCCCAGCGGGCGGCCCCGGGCTGCCAGGCAAGCGGACCGGCGGTGCGGGCGCCCGCCGAGGCAGCTCTGGCCGCAAGCAGAGCCGGCGGGGTCTCGGAGAGGGGCGACCGGGGCACGCGGACCGGTCCCTTTGCGCGGCCGGCGCGGGTCCCCGCATGCCCCGAACTCCCTGTGGGCAGTCGCGCGGCGCGATCCCCCGGAGGAGGGCCCGGGCCGCCCCCCGCCCGCGAAACACCGAGCGCTCCGCTTCGGGTGCCCCCGGGCCTCCGCAGCGCGTCTGAGCGCGCTGCACCGCGCGCACCTCTTGCACGGAGCCGCGCTCGGTCGGGAGCAGCGACGGCGGCGCGTCCGCTGGCTCCGGGCTGCGACATCAGGCCGGACGCCGCGCTGCTCAGCCTCGACGAAGCGCCGCGGGCTGAGCGCGGGGCCACTCGCTTCGGGGCCATCGCCACGAACGAGGCCGGGCCCGGGGCGGGGCGGCGGCTGAAGCGGCGCTGCCCACCCACCCTCCCGGGGCGCCGCACTGGGCGGCGGGCGGCAGCGCCGGCCCCGGGCGGGCGCCTTCCGCGGACGAGGCCGCCGGTTCGGGCGGCTAGGCTCTTGCTCCGCTGCGCCGCTGCCCACGCCGCTTCCCGGCCCCCGCGCAGCTCTCGGGCGGCGGACGCAGAGGGCTGCCGCCGCGCGAGCAGGGAGCCCGGTGAGCCGGCGGCTGGCGGCGCGGAGGCGGGGCTCGGCGCCGAGCACATCGCGGCGCGCTCGCCGAAACGGGGGGCAACGGCGGAGGCCAATTCCCGCTTGCGGCCCGCGCCAGTCGGACTGCAGTTCTCGCTTGAGGCTTTGTTGCATTTCAGTGAAACATTTTCGTACAACGATTTGTTCTCTGGTCTTATGTCTACGGGGGCGGCTACGATTTCTTTCGAAAAAAATCCAGATATTGTCCGTACATTCGAACTCAGCTTCTGGAAAATCTTGTCTTTTCTACCAAAAGTTGCTAAAACACATGGAAAATCAAGAAGCGTTTTGATTAGGAGAAGGAACCTACAAACCATTCACACCAAATAGAACTGATAACGCACCTCTGGGCTTGGTTTTTCGTTTAAGGCCTCGATGTTTTGGGTCGTTGGCAGGTCTAATCATCGTTCTAGTTTGAATCATCTCCGTCCAGGGCGACCATTTTTTCTGCTAATCTTAACAAACTCTGAGGGGCAGAGCGAGGCGGAGACGGCAATGCGAGGGAAGGGCGAAGGGAGGAGGAGGAGGGGAGAACCAAGAGCGACACGGTCCGGCCCCGGTAAGTAAGCCCCCGTCGCGAACCTGGGAGAGCTGCGCGGCGCTCATCCGGAGGCCGCCATCGCCGGAGACGACATCTGGCGCGGGTTTAAACCAGACTAAAAAGCCGGCCCTGCTAGCAACAGCCTTCACAGAACCGCGGCGGGGAGGGGGGAGCGTGCTCCAGCCCCGGTCTTTCCGGGGAGACGGCGAGAGCGCTCCCCCGGGAGCCGGGACCCGCGAGGCGCCGGCGCTCCCGCCCCGCAGCCGCGCCCTCCACCAAGATGTGCAGCGCTGCTCTGCCCCAGCGCGCCCGGCCCGGCCGCCCCGGCCACTGCGGGACCCGCGCCCGCCGCCCGCGGCGCTCCGCGGAAGACCCGCGCTCCGCGTGCCCCGCTCCACTCGC